TTTGTCCCATCATTTTGTACTTGACTGCAATAATTCTTAAAAACTAAATAACTCAATAACTCAATGATCTTCTGGATGGACGACCTCGTACTTTCTTAATAATATGTTTGAACTGAGTCTCACAATCCACAGACGCAAACTGAAATTAATCTGCAATGCTCCGAGTTTCAGAAACAGAATATTAATAATCTAAGATCTTTGTACATTTTGAGAATCCCTGTGATCCATTTGTTCCTTGTTCTCTAGATTACTGTGACTTTTAAATCTCTTCGATACATTCCTACCGCTGGAGACGTCCTCACGCTTCCTGAAGCTCTTTATGAGCACTTCAGTGCTTGACGATGAATTACCATAAATTGACTTTAAGAAATCAGGAAGCTCCGGTTTTATTTTCAGCGGTCCCGGTTTCGATTCAACCTGAGCAGGAGGCATCGATGATCGCGGTCGTACCACTTTCGGGTGAATCACATTTGAACTGGAAGAAGAGTTCTGAAACGGCACTTTCGATTGTATCAATGATACTCTGGGTTTCGGCTGGTTAAGATTCTCGTACATGCCTTCCATCAGCATCGCTTTTATTTCCGCCTGCCTACTTAGAGGTGCACGCTGTGGCTGTGGTGGTGGAATCGTAAAATTCTTTTGTGTGCCGCTTGGAACTTTTCGAGGTCTTCCTCGCTTCCTTACCTCTGGGTTCACCCATATACCACTAAGCACTGGAGGTTTATTTTCTTCAGTGCTGCTGCTGCTTCTACTTTTAATACTTTCGCACGACAAGGCTGGTTTCGTAGACTGCACTTTATTTACCCTGTAACCACTGGGAATCTGAGGCAAAGAAGCTTCAATATTTTCCGACTTGTTGGCCAACGCAGTCGACTGTTGACTGATTGACTCCGAATCTGATTCATCGGAAGAAGAGTCACTCAATCGACTCCATTTAAAGCTTGAAGAGCTGCTGTTCACTTTATCATGGAGACTTAAAAGCCTGGACTCCAACTCTTCCGGTTTGAAATGAGCCGGAGGCGAAGCCGGAGTCGGAGCCGCAATTTGAGTGCGTTCGACGGATGCATCCCTGGAGCTCGCCGATGAACTACTGCTCGAAGATGTTTTGCTTGAAGACGAGTTACTGCTCGAAGATGAGCTTCTGCTCGATGAAGATCTTCTGCTCGAAGAAGAGCTGCTGCTGCTACTTGAACTGCTAGATAATGTGTTCGACATGATGAACAACTGTTAAATGAATACTTAAATCGAAAATTTCAGCAATGACAGTTTTATTGCACTACAAACTACCTGCTACTGTCTTACAAATTTTGAAAAAGCGCGCCAAACGAAGAGTTTGAAGCAGCTACTACTGGTACTAGTACTTTCTAACACTGCTGGTAAATAAAAAATAATAATGAACATTTTTATAAACTTTTAATGATATAAGAAAAGCTTTAAATAACTTTAAACTGTAACTTTTTTGTTAAACATATATTTACTACTTTCTTAATTATCGTCAAAAGTAACAGCTGGAGAAAACAAGTAAAACAAAACATTAATAAAATAAATGTTTATATCAATTTTTCAAAAAAAAAACATGAAATTTATAATAATTTTTGTATGGAATAAAAATTGTGCAACGAAATTAAGAAAGTTGAAAAACTTTGCTATAAAGATTCAGTAATTATAAATATTATTTATTTCATACAATGTATTTTTTTCATACAATGTTAAAATAATTAGTAAAATTATGATTAATTTATTAATTTAATGCTTTAGTGTATAATTAACTAAAGCATTAAATTAATCAATAATGTTTATCCACTTGTTTTCCGTAGATTTACAAAGATTATTCCAACTTTTACTCATCTCAAAAATTTGTAAGTAATGAAATAATAAACAAGAAATAAACTAGAAGGAAGGCAAAATTATTTTCAATTAATTCCTTTAATTTCTTAGTGAAGAGACCGTCAAAATGTATAGTTAAGATGCTAGTGATAATGATGATTATTATTAAAAACAGGTTCACGAACAAAAACGATTTCCAGGAACATACAAGATTTATTCATTTACAATATAATACAGGTCATAAATCAACCGAACTTTATCCCAAATAAAAAAAAGATTAAAAATAATCCGCAATCAAAGT